CCCCAAAACCCCAAAACCCCAAAACCCCAAAACCCCAAATTACTAGGTTTTTACTTTAAAAAGAGCATTCATAATAAAGAGAAATAAAATTAAAGGAGATAATGGATTTCTCATTATTTCAGAATTCCTCCTCAATATAACCCAAATACACTCATTACGCTCCAGACGGACATGGCAGAGACACTTATGTCATAGCAAACAATGGAGGTTTACTGAGTATGGCTGGAGCTAAGATTCCTCACACAGGGTATCAATAAAAGAGCGTGCCTACTTAATTCTTTGTTAATCAATAGCAGCACAACTATAGTTTCTCTCCAAGGTATGTCTAGTTATATAATATTCATTGTGATTGGGAGGAAATTAATATACTGAGTATAGGAAGGAGCCAACATCTTTACGATACTATGGTGATGGATCTGGCAGAGATGGGTACGTGATATAGGACTTTGGAGGACTGGTAAAGACGTATGGCAATCCTGACACTCTGGGCAATTTTTACAAGACACTTAGGTAGAGTCCCAAGAATTATGATTAAACAGGATTCGGAGGCACAGCTGGACTGTTCAAGAAGAATAAATGGTTAACTCCCAAAGCTAGAGAAATAGTCAAGCAATGCTTTATGAACTAGAAGGATGCTTCACTCAGATTATCTACTCCTAAATATGTTGATGTAAGAGGAAGCTAAAACTTCATTGATAAAGCTGAAAAATTAAAAGTACAAAGAGAAAGATTCAATGGATCGCCTATGCATCAAACTGAGCCTAACAGCAATCTTAATACTAATAGAGACAGACTAAAATCTTCAAACTAACTTAATCGAAGTGTACAGCTTGAGACTACAGATAGAAAAGCAAATTAATCACTAAATCTGATGGACAATGCTTTAGCCTAGAATAGCAGACTAGGTATGGTCCTTAGATATTAAAACTTGAAAGGTGGTCAGAGCAGTGGCAGTGGAGGAATCACTTAAAATAGTAATCATTAGATGAGTATCGAAAAACCAAAGATTAAATCAGATACAGAGTAGATTAATGAAAGCTTATAGAAGCACTTTGCAAAAACTCATAAAAGTATCAATCCTATAAATTCCTATAATACTTAGCAAAATTTCAACAAATCCTTTGATGTCAGATAGTAGCAGCCATTAAAGTTATTAAGTTAAGATATTAATTTACAGCAATATAATCAGAGAAAGCTAATCACTCGCTAATAAGGAAAGAGACAGTAGTAAACTGAGTAAATTGTTAAGGAACCTCCAATAATGGTCTTCACTCCCTAAGAAGAGAGACTATAAAGAACAATAGACAATACCAGTCCAAGATACAATCCTATCTACAAAGATAAATATAACTTCTCTAATGAAAAATAGCATCAAAGCCAGGCATCAACTCAGCTATCAATACAGTCAAATCAGGGCATCATTAGTAAAAATGTTAAGCAACCTCATAGAACTATATAGAATGCAACAACCGCAGACAACCGTCGTGAAAAGCTGAGAGATATTATTAAGAATATATCTAATAATAATCAAATGGTCTAGACAATTAGTATTCAGAAGAATAGCTACAATGAGAAGCTAAAAGACAAAAGCTCTCTGCTTGAGTTAAGCAGGACTAATGATCGAAAGTAAAATTAGTCAGTTCTTGTTTATAATTCCAATGACAAGATGATAGACTTAGATTAGAGTCCAAGTCCAGTTAAAAAAGAGAGGAAGGTAGTCAAAGGAGTGGGAGTGTCACCAAGAGATCGAGCTGGAATTTTTAGTACTAATGGCATCGATAATGGTCTTAGTAAAAGCATCATGCTTTGAAATCATAGATAAGGAGGATGATTTCGAGTAAAATCACCTCTGTTATAAATTTGATCAATTTCTGGTCAAAGGCATTAACTTAAATTTAATCACAACAGCAAGCACATATAACTACAGTTATATATTTCAATATTTATTTAAAAATTCAATCATTATTACTGTGCTTTTCATGCATTAAACACTGGCTAATGGGGTTTTGGGGTTTTGGGGTTTTGGGGTTTTGGGG